GACCACATGTCATGGGCAGAAAAATGGCCGCTGACCACGCGGCAGGGCGGAAAAAATGGCCGCGGACCACATGTCATGGGCAGAAAAATGGCCGCTGACCACGCGGCAGGGCGGAAAAAATGGCCGCGGACCACATGTCAGGGGCAGAAAAACGGCCGCGGACCACGTGGAACGGGCGGAAAAACAGTCGCGGACCACGTGGAATGGGCGGAAAATGGCCGCAGACCACGTGGAACGGGCGGAAAAATGGCCGTGGACCACGTGGAACGGGCGGAAAATGGCTCGTAAGTCGAGTTCGTAAGTAGAGGTAAATTTCTGGGGCCGGAGCTGATCGTATCTCGAAAAATTCGTAAGTAGGGGCGTTCGTAAGTAGAGGTACCACTGTATAATTTAAAGCGTTAAAGAAAGAGAAATATAGGTGACAGGAATACAAGTCTAGAATCTAGATACCAAGGGCCCTGGATGGCATGATCAAGATCTCTGTGAACTGAATGAAAATTGATTTTCTAAAGTATCAGATGATTCAGTTTTTATGGAAAGATTATTATTTTCAAATCTAAATTGACTATAATAACCTATGACTGAACAGGTAATGCAGAAATCTATTATGTCAACAGGAAAGGAGCAACAGCTGTTGCAAAACTACTAATAAAATCACACATTAGAAGAACTGACAAGACCAATGCGATCTTAACATTTGTTTTGTTTGTTTGAAAAAAACTTCCCTTAAAAAAGATTTTTTTTCCCTCTGATAAATTCCTCTCACTACATACAGCTGTTTCCTATGACCCTGTGGCATTTCTACTGAAATAGTAAAAACCTCCCCTATTTATTTCAGATGTGGAGGCAATGGTTTTTTGAAAAATGAGATTTGCAAAGTGTCATGTACATTGCATATAGACTCCAGGCCCACATAAACCCTTGCTGCAGTCCACTGCTTTCTATAAAAAGACAAGCTGTACACTTCATATAAACATATAATGTTAAGCGACAGAATAAAAATAAATAGTGAACACATTGTTTTTATTTGTGCTCTGACTCTTCACCTCATTGTACTTGGAACAGCTTTGCCCTTCGACTTGGCACAACTACGGGCAGCCACATGGCACCTGAAATATTGTCCACCAGGGCTTGTCTTGCATATATTTATTCCCACACATTAGCATCTCCCTCGTTTTTTATCTCAGACTTCTCTTTTCAGCTTGTCTGTACTTTCTTCCCTGTCTACAGATCTTCCCTGGGCAATTTGTTTTGCTTTTCCCGGCTCCATAGCTGATAATGTACTGCCAGTTCTGTCCCCATCTCCTCAGCTTTCCACAGCTACATGACTAGTTCTACCAGTTTTTTTTTTTTTAATTTCAGACGTGCATAACTAATAAAAGAGCAATGTATAAGAATTCAAAAGTATTTATAGCGTGGCACTTTGAGAAGCAAGGTTTTAAGAAATCTCCTTTTATTGTCTTGCATGCATCAGCCCTACCAGCACTATATTCAGCAGGGGAATAACAAGAGGAGAAAAAAAAAGAAGCAATTTTGCCTTGGTAATTGGTTACTGTGCGTGACTTCACTAATATCAACTATCCTTTCAAAAAGATAAAGTTAATGTATTTCCTGGTCCTATTTATAAACTCATCTCTACGCTAAGAATTAATCACAAAAAAAGCAGCAGAGAATAGCTTTGCAGTACTCAGAACAGACTTCATGCTACAAATAACCATGTGTTCTAGAAATGTCTTACATCATATCATATATCATATCAATAGGGATGTGCAGTGCTTTGAATTTGAAGCTGAAAAAGTGCTTTGGAGGAGGTGTGGGCATGCATGCATGTTAAAGCTATTGGTGTTGAGTCTTTTCTTGAGCTGACCCAGTAACTGTGTGATGCAAAGAAAAGCTGGAGAAATCCAGGAACTCTGAAGCAGACTGTCTGATTCAGGACTACAGACACTGGTAAAATGTGTAGTCAGGAATTTGCATTAGGCTTTGTTTTCTGTTTCTGTCTTACACTAAGTCTCAAGTTTTTAGCTCTTCATACAGGTTATGGAATTGTGTGGTTGCTTTCCATTATACTTCAGGCTGTGTTCAAAGGATATATTTTTTTCTTTAGAATCTCCTGTGATCTGTAATAATAATTTGAAACCTCTCCAGTCTCTTTTCAGCAGAAGGGTCTTCAACTATAGCAATGGTCTATCTGGAACGCTGTATTTTATTTTGGATCTTTTTTTCTTCACTAATCTGCAAGCTTCATAGTATGTCACTGGGGCAACTTTGTAATTATCTTCTTCTATAATGAATGTGCATATTAAAATAAAAAAGGCTTTACATTTTATTCTTTTTCTAATAAAGTTTTCCTTTGTTTATCTCCTGTGAGATTGATTTTTCAAGGGGGTGTTGGGGGAGGAAGGGTTGAATCCTTTAGTCACCACATTTATACACTACATAGCCAAGAGGTGGTACTATACAAATTATTTCAACTTTTGCATTTTGACTTTTTAATCACCAGAAAGGCACAGAATATGACATCACTCTCTCTTACACATACCAGAGTTAGGGGTTGGATGACAGATGAGGCACTCCCTGGAAGCCAGTGTTGGACAAAGGAACAACCAAGATGTTATCCCAAAGCAGAGAGTAGGTCCAGGATATGAAGACCCAAGGGCTTTTGGAAAAGGAGGCTTGGTACCTCCAGTCCTTCATCCTACGGCCTCAGTCTTGCTAGTTACATCTTATTGTACAATACAATGAAGGGACCAGAGGATGTAACAGACATAAAACCTGTCCTCCAATCAAACTAGTGAATGGGTGTTAAAAGACTATCTTTACCTTAGACTGCACTAATAATTAACCCTTTTATCACACTTGAAAATAAAAACAAAAATACACATTTAACCACAGAGAAACTGAAATAGTGATAATTTTTCGCATGCTTCTGAACTATTTATGACTGGTTTGTTATGAATAATTAGGGTCACTTTCCTCCCAGCTACAGAGAAAACCTGGTGTTCTTATCATTTCCTCACTAGATAGTAATGACATCTTCAGCATGAATGTAGCAAACAAAAATATGAAACCCATGAATTATTATTAAAATGAAATGGAGTAATTTACAATCATGAGGTAATGTATGTCTGTACACTGCAGGTTTTAAGTAATTTTAGTGAAAGCTGATTAAACCAACCTCCCTCAGCGTGGTAAACTACAGATGAATTGGGACATCTGCACTGGAATTTTGGGAGCTGCAATCTTTTGTACATTTGGATGGTGCCAGAATGTGGAAAACAGGGTTACACAAACAGAGTTATCGATCCCAGTAATTCTACTCACCCTTTCAAGATCCTGTCTAAGGTGTGTGAAGAGCTTCAAGCGTCGGTACAGCACATCCTGCTCTTGCTGAGCCAAATTATCCACTTCATCTGTCTTGGGCATTAGCAGTGGCTTGTTATAATTGGCTTTTCTTTTCATCTTCCAGTACTGATAGACAAAATCAACTAGCCACTCAGTCAAATCAAGGTTCTCAGCCACTTCAGAAGGTTTCACAAGATCATAGAAGTCCTCTTCCAACTGCTGGAGTTTCTGTTTTCTCAGTGTTACCTTTTCCATGTCTAGTTTACCTTGATCTGCATCCGTGCGTGCTTCATCTGGTGGCTTGGTGGCACCAGTGCTATGCTCAAGACAGAATGACTTGAACTTTACTTCATCATTCTCCGCTAACAGTGTCCGCATGTCCAAATTGTGCTCAAAGGCACACGTTACATGGAAGGCTGTGATGCAGGAAGGCATGGAACACTAGCATGAGAAGGGAAAGAAAACAAATGCTTGAATAGTCCCTTGGAACACTGCATATAAGCTACCATCAACTATTAACATTTTTACAAGAAGATCTCAATATAAGCCAGAGAGAGGATTACCAACAGAAAGAGGAGGAGGAGGAGAGGAAGGAATGGGAAGTACTGCATGCCCATTTAGCTTCCACACTAGAGTTTTCTTAAGGTGATGGAGAAATACCTCTACCTTCCACATGCATTTGCACAAACTGTTTAAGCACTGAGAAATATCTTGTTTATATGCTATGTTGCTGCTCTCATTATTTTTACATCACATAACCATTTCTCATGGGATCTATTTGATTTGCCGAGACAAAATTAAATTATTCGGTATAGCCAAACTTCGGTCCTGTTAAACTGATCCGCTGTGAGTATGCACTTCAGTATGATCAGATAAAGTGTTCTAACTGTTTGATAGCCTTGCTGTGATAACTCGCAAGCCCTGACATTATGAAATATAATTAAAGATTCATCCAAGAGGAGGTGGTTAACCATGCCCTGTGGGGCAAGATGGGATACGAATGGAATAGATACATTGATACACTGCTCCAGCTTTTAAAATGTGCACTGCACTGCTAAGGAGGTGCGCACTTACTCCCCACTAAGAAGCCAATTTTCATAAATTATCTATTCAGGTAGTCCTCGCTTAATGACCGTTCGTTTAACATCAGTTCAAAGTTATGACAGCCTCGGAAAGGGTGATTTACGGCCCTTAAAGCACTTCCAGCCATCATAAAATGTCGCACCACACCCTCCCCCTGTGGTCACGTGGCCACATTTCAGGCACTTGGTAATTGGCTCATAGTTACGACTGGTTGCCAAGTTCCCCACGATCATGTGATCACCATTTGCAATCTTCTCTTCCAGCTTCCCCAGAAAGTCTTAAATGGCAGAGTGTTTTTGGGGGGAAGGGACTGACAAAAAACAAGAATGGAAAAGATCAGAAAAATCTTTAAATGTGTCACATAGATAAAGTAAGACACAAACAATTTCGACATGGAAAGTAAACTTCTGTTATAAGACATAATGCATTTGGCTGTCTGAACAAAGCCATAGGGCATAAGAACATTAGTATATAAAAGTATCATAATCTGAAGATGTTCTGATGCATAAGGTATTAGAATGTGATATTAATGGCAGAGAAATGAAATTTAAAAGCCTTTCCTCCCCACTGAATCATCCTTTTCTATTGGGATTTTGACCATGGAAACAGAGCAGTGCAAGAATATATACTTCTTAAGCACTAATATTCTTGGCAGCTGGGAAGAAGGGTTTATTTCATAGACATTTGCTATTTATTTTAATCTTTAAACTACCTTGATTTTTGCTTGGCAGACAGGCTATAATTTTATGAAAAAGCTGCATTTTCAGGAGCTTGTAATATACCTGGAAGCAGTAACTTTTACTAGTTTCTCCTCTTTGATATGAGATACACACACATGCATACATGCCGCTAATTAATATAATTTAAAAAAGAAAAAAGGGACTTAAAATTTTTTATGGGCCACTATCATAAAAATACATGTATTAAAACTTACTGCAGTGGGAAAATAGATGCCAACAAGTATATATATTTTTGAAGCTTAAAGCTGTTTTATGAAAGTATTCTGCTAGATCCTCCTTCCCCAGGTGATAAAACCTAAAGCACCATTTCCTCTGACTATAACATGTGTATAATACTGCTGCCTCTTACACCTCCCACTATTCATCAACTGTTTTTTAATGAATCAGAGTGTCAGGTAATTATTCAAGCCATAACCCATATAAAATCAGTCTATTCTAGCTGCTAATGACCAGTTAAACTGCAGTAAGGAGCTATTTTGAAGGGTTTATAGCTGTAGACAGCAACCTGAATGGCTTACATAACCAGGATCTCATAGTTACAAAAAATGTTAGCTCTGACTTTGAATGATTACATTAACACCAAGGATACTGAGAAGCGATTAGTTAGTTAAGTATGAGAACTGGTATTTCAGGGAAAAGGAAGAGCAATTCTATGGTAGTTTTATATATCCATTCTTGCTGGTTTCATTTTTGCTTCAGTGATCCCCCAAGGCGTTTTTCTGCTCTGCTGAACTCCAAAAATCACCCTGAGAGGCTAAGAGAATATGAGGCTGGTATGAATGGTTTTATTCCCCATCGTTATGCTTTGTAACTTTTTCTATAAAAATTAGATCCTTGTCTTTGCTTTACGTACTTGGAATCTGCCAGGATTAAACAGGCCCTGAGTAACTGTCCTACTCAAATATTTCAAATTGCTTTTTAGAGCCAAGTTATAGAAAGGGGGAATCCACAGCAGGGGAAGCTCAGGTAAAGATAACAACACTGATTTTCTTTATTTTTGCTGGATGCACAAAGAGAAGAAGATTCATAAAGCAAAGTTGGTTGATTATAATATGGCTTTGATTGTGGGCATACCCAATGTGGCTCAGGGGGACAAAAATATTATGTTGAAAAGATGCAATGGCGTTATTTTTCCTACTCTTATTGCATTTTGAGGTTTAAGGCTTTTGCCAACCATAAACAGCTCTGACTGAGTTTTCTTGTCCAGTAGCCAAAGCTGTAATTTTACCGCATACATAGCCAGATCGCTACCAATGGAGGCAATTGTGTTTATATTGGAGTAACATCTGGGGGTACTTTAAAATAAGCGATTGGAAAGATTCTTTGTGCTGTTATGTGCACAAGTAGCATGCACAGTAGTGAGATGAAAGCTGAGCAAGAAACTCTTTGGCTCTAGTACAGTTTTCAAGCTACTGCAATAAATGAATCTGTCCCATCCCCCTACTTGCCTTCGCTGCTTGCGTCACAAACGGTATTAATATCATTCTTAAATTGTTTATGGCTTTTGCTTGAACAACAGCCTACACAATGCCCTTTTACAGAGGAAAGATGATCCACGCTACCTTAGAGATAAAGTAAATAGAATGCCACCCATCCAGGATTTCATTTGACAGATGGCAAGTGGTGTTTATCAGGGACTCTGCCCAAAATGCAAACAGGAAATAATTAGTAAGCTGGGCTGATGGGTCAACAACAAAGAATACCTGTTCAGCCTTTGCTATCAAAGAATGCTAATAAAGTGAGAATGAAGACATTACTGATGCAACCCAGGTTAGTAGAATGAAACTGTACAGAAGGGCAAGGGAGAAAATACTGAAAGATAAAATGAACTAAGGTATGTGATAATGTGCACACACATGAACAGGAATATGATAAACCACAGGGTTGATAAGCCTGTGTTAAAACATTCTTACCTAAAGGCTGTAGTCAAAGAGGACAGCAATGACTGGCTGACAACCTACATATGTTTATTCATATATGCAATTCAGGATAACAAATCTTATAATACTGGAGTTGTTTTGGCTAACCTTATGCTCACTTTGTTTACTTAGCTACAATAGTTTCATGTAATATGTTTAATCAGTTCAATTGATAAATTGCAGCCAGTGCAGAGCTTTCAGTGTCAACGCTGTATCTATGCATGAATGTGTGTAAAGGGATTCCACTGAATAACCAACCTAGTTGCAGTCTATGAACCACTTACAAGGAAATTCCATATAGATTGTTGTACAATCACCAATGCATGAATAACAGAAACAGGGCTTCCTAATTGTTTGGGTAGGATGGCTAGGAACTGTTGGGGAAAGGCAGTCCCTAAGATACTCAGGCTCTGAGCAAATAGGGCTTTATAGGTAATGACCGGCACATTGAATTGCACTTAGGACTCTACAGGTAACTAATGCAGTTCCCACAGCAGAGGTGTAACATAGTGGTGTGACTGTCCACTGAGCACACATGCTACTACCTTATGGACTAGTTGGAGTTTCCAGGTGGCCTTTAAGGGCAGCCCCATGTACAATGTGTTATGGTAATTTAGAGATGACAAGGGCATCAGTTATCACTTTCACTGCATTCTGTTCCAAATAAGGCCACAGCTGGTACATCCAATGAAGCTGTGCAAAGCTCCTCCTGATGATGGTTTCCACCTCCACTTTGAGCATGAGCCACGAGTCCAGGAAGACCCCCAGACTGTGACCCTGCTCATTCGGGGGAAATACATCCCCATCAAGAGTCAAGTATGTGTAATCATGGAATCAGATAGCTTCCAAATCAACAAACACTCCATCTTGTATGGGTTGAATCTGAGCTTTGTTGTCCCATATTCAAAAAGAGGAAAGGAAAATTCAGGGAACTACAGACCTGGTAAGGGTTAAATCTGGTTTATGATCAACTAAAGATCTCATAGGTAAAGATACATAGGTATCTTGGCAAAGTAGGAAAGTCCCTTTCATCTCTTTTCCCCACAATCCTTCCAAGGCCAATGGTTCATAACTTAAAGAAGAACAAAGCTTCCTCTTCTTTCTCTGTTTGTAATGGATATATCTACACATTTTTTTACCAACAGGATTTGTTACTGAACAATGCAGCATCTTCTGGTTTGAGCATCACTTTATACGCAGGGAGAGAGAAGTAAGGAAGGAGTAGGCAGGAAACAAGTAATCTCCAGGCTACCATCCATCTCACTCCAGGCAGAACTGAGATTAACAGTAGAATCTTATGTTCTAGGAACTCCAACAAAAAGCCTTAGAATATGAAGTAAGTCCCCTATGCCAAAATAGCACCATAGTACTGTATTATGTGATGTCAGTGCAACTCTGGTCACTGGAAATGGGTACCTCTGCCATCAATAAGAGATAAGCAGGATCCTAATTTATTTCAGATCATATTCAAGTCCCTACAAACCATATAACTGTATCTGGCAGAAGAGATGATGCAAGATATGAGTTATACTGAATTCAAAGAACCAATGTGCATTTTCCACACCTTCTCCCACAGCACTTTGAGTACAATGAAGATCTGCAGCCAATTATGGATCATAACATGATGTTAGGTGATTCTAGCTGCGCTTCTTTAAGGTTGCCGGCAATCTAGTTATAGCTTTGCAAGCTGTTGACAGTTATGTGTCACTGATGCCTTACCCAATACAGGGCTGGAGCATTGGGATGGTGCTTCCTGTTCTGCTGCTTATTCTATGGCTTTCAGAGCTTTCACATAGCATATTACTTCCTTAATATTATTGAACAATCACTGGGGATGGACAAATTAATATTTTTCCATATCATATTTCTTTACCACCATTTACTTTGCGCACTTTGTCTACATACTGGTCAAATGCTAGCTGGAGTCTTTTTTCTAACTTTCAGCCATAGTGTATTTGTGCTTTTACTAGAGTAATCTCTCTCCAATTTTTATTTAAATATAATTAGCCAGTCTCTTTTGGATAGTTGCCCTTTTAACCATTCATGTTGATTTCTTCAGAATTATACCCACTGCCCTACTTTGTGATACTAAACATTTCAGCTCTGTAGCTTTTACTAAGCTTCACAGATTTTGATAGCCCTCTCCAGTAAGGTTTCAGTTAAAACAAAGTTTATTCCAACTTGAACTCAAAGTAGACAGTTGCATTTTAAAATTCATCCGGATAAACAAATCCAGAAGAAGGTGCTGCATCACCACAATGTAATGGAATTTGCAATCCTAATGGAACAGGAGGGTATGCAGATTGAATTTTATTTATTTCCAAATTCCAGATTAGTGCTTAGTCATTGCTTAAATGTTTAAACAAATGAATCATCCACATATTTCCTCTTCTTTGCAATAACATTCAACTTCTACAAGATTAGCACTGGCAAGAGCCTTACTGGCAATCTTAATGAAGACTGATGGAATGTTGGTTTCAACAGAATAATAATACCTTGTTTTCCATTTCAGGTAACTTTTCATGCAAATCCATTCAGTTTCAAAACTAAGATATGAACCACAACTAAGAGGATGAAATCTTGGAGAAAACATTTTTTTTTTCCCCACACTGCCAAGTGTAGTTGATTTGTTTCTTTGCCCTTCCGTTCTTTGAAAGCAGCTGCCTTTGTGACAAAATATCTCCATCTGGCAGGGTGAATAAGCAGATCCACCAAGAACCATCACAAACGGAACTGAATCAATGTTGGGATGATTTAAAGAAACGTGTTCAAGTTTTCATTTCAGGATAGAAATGATTTTAATGAAACATATTCTGAGAAAGCAGGGCCTGTTATCAAAGATCACATTTCTACGGCACCACTGCAAAATGCAGAATCCTGCCAAAGAGTTGTTCTGTGGTTGCACTCAAAAGACTGATTAATTAATTATCTTATTAATTTTCTTGACTGTTAGAGAAACAGCTATCAGTCAGGTTGAGACTTGCGAACAATCTCTCTTACTCTCCTGCTAGTAGAGAGAGCCACCTGCAGAGATGCAGCAGACAGCATAAAGATGCCATAACAACTATTCTAGCACTAATCAAAGAACAACATATCATGTCTGGGAAAAGGTGTTTCAGATCTAGGGACTCAATTAAATAGCCTTTTGCTGTATTCTAAGCTGAATGATTCTGGGTTGTTAACAAATCCAAGTGCAGTGACATTAATATGCTAAACAAAGGAAGCAGCACTGATTAAATATTCTGAAAAGCCAACAATGACAGACTTTTTTTTTAAACTGTTTACCTATATTGCTGTCCAGTGAATCAAAACACACACATTTTCTATACAAAATTGAAGGCTGTGTCATTATTTTTTCAAGTGGGTAGAGCACAAAAGAAAATGATCTGATTCTTGGATTTTCCTAGAATTAAATTACTTACTTGAATACATGTTCCAGTACATTCCTTGCAAAGACTGCATGACAGAGCCCATCTGCTTGCTGGGATATGTGAAATTTTTGTAATTGGTTCCATTTTTTCAGGGCATCCAATGCTAACCTGAGCATAACACAAAGCATACAAATAATTGGTTTTCACATATTGTCTTGATAGAGACAATGAATCAATTCTCCCTTAAGATGAATATCATAAAAGATACATTTGACATTTGACACAAATCTCTAGGGATACTCCATACCATGGAGACATTTATTTGGAATGTCTGAACTGATAACTGCTTAACAACAATAATGTTTCGAATATTATATCTTCTTAAATAACTTCAATATAATGATATGAATGATTTGTGGATGGCGCTTGACCGTATCGAGCATGTTCAAATTCAAACATATTTTATCCACATTCCATTCATTCTATTTAGGCAGAAATCACTTGTCTCGTACTTCAGGGATCCATAAGGCACAGCTAACATGAACCCATTTTGTTCCACTCCGGGTAGGTTTCAGGGCTCCCCCTCTCTTTGGGCAGAGTAAACACTTTGGCTGAACTCCCAGGGCACAAGTCCGACAAAGCCAGTTTCCAGTGGGAACTTTTAGGATTCCATAGCAAGCCTAAGAAAATACAAGGACAAAGATTAGTTACTTATGTGATGAGCGTGTATCAAGATTGTAATACGATGTACTTTATAAATGAAATGACCACATGTAGTTTACAAATATTAGGTATATGTGATTCTGTGTTCCCATCCATTACTAATATGATGCACTTGAAACAGTAATATCATTCCCAAAAAATCTGATTAGGCAATTGCCTGAATGACTGCAGGAGAGTTGAAAGAGAATAAGAGGATGGGCAACACATTTTTCTTGCCCCCAAGTTTCCATGAGTGCATGACCCTATTCCCTTAATCTCAGACTTTTCATCTGGATTTTTCTACTGTGTAAGAAATCTTTTTATTTACCATCTCAATAGCAGTGATACTTTTTGCTGCTTTCTTTTCTATCGAATTCAGTTCAAGATATTTTTCAAAGCTGTTTTCCATAGCCACAGCAGAGACCTATTCTGTTAAGTAAAGGTTATTACATTTTCAACCAACCACTGGCTAAGTTTACAGATCACACAAAACCATGAAACGGCTTGTTTGATTTTGACTTCATGTTATAGTGGCTTGCTCAACAAGTTTTAAAACAGACCATGGCTTAGTGCAATATATGTACTGAATGATAATAAAGAAGTGTAAAGGAGTGGTTAAAAAGATACTAGATTCAGCAATTTATGAGTAAAAAAAGGGGAAAGACATTTAAAAAGAGAGGAAAAATGGTGAACTGTGGTCTTCTATTCCAGGTGCTACTTCCTTTCCAACATAAGTACTCCTGGATATCATTCTCATGTCTGAATTTGTTCTAAAGGCATCTTTATTCCCTTAATATCATGACAAGCAGTAAATTGGCCACAATTAACAGCAAAAATATCATGAATATACATCCAAAGACACTACTGAACGGTTAAGAAGGCATCATCATGATCATCATCGGCTGCTGCTACAAACAGGATAAGCTGGATCTCCCTTGCCCCTAGGCAACTCCTGAGGTTGCCCAGAGCAGAGGCTAACTGTGGCAGATCTACAGGAACTCTGCCTTTGGTTCCATCTAGTAGTCGCCAGGATTTCTGCAGCCCAGATATGGTAATTCTAGGCAAAAAGATTTCCCAGAGATAAAACTGTAAGGTAAAGCAGTTCAGCCTCAGGAATGCCATAGGACACAGCAGCAGGAGTCCAAGAATGCTCGTTTCACATCATTGCTCTGGTCTGGGCAGTTTTTATAAGGTAAGGTACTCTTCCAATTCTATGAGTCAATGAATCTGAGGGAACTGCCCCTATACTCCATCAGAGAGACAACTGCTACTTACCTGATGCACACAGACATTGCATTTGTCACAAAAAACCATCTCATTGCCATCTTCTCCTTCTGGTGAACGACATACATCACATACCACATCCTCATCATACTCTATGCCAAGGCCTTCTTCTGTCTCAATGGCAATGTTCATATTCTCATAGCACAGAGTCTCCAGTTCCTCAAGCACTCTTTCCAAGGTGATTTCATCCATTTCTGGCTTTTCTTAAAGAGAAAAGGCATCAAAACTTTATTTACTTTCTATGAAGAGTCTCAAATTCTGTTGAGGTAAGATATTTGTTGACAGTTAGAAGTTAAGAGAAGAAAAATTCCTGTATAAGCCCCAGCATTCTAATAAAATAAATTGAGCATCAATCAGTTCAACTGGTTATGCTTCTTTTCAATCCTAGCTGAAAGAAAGGTAGATGGAACACAAACAGAGCAAGAAATCTCAGAAGGAAAATCAGTGAATGTTGTTCTGCAGCTTAACCACTGGACCACTGTGGCTGAGCCAATATTAAGCACACACAGGAAAAGAAAGTCAGAAAACAACATTATCTCTCCCCGATATATTCAGGTTTTTCTGTGTCTTGTAAGAACATGGTTGTAGCAGTAAAATTCTGCCCATTAAGCTAAAATGTAATTTGAACAGTGGTGTTGAGTGAACCCAATTGCTGTGGTTTGTAAACTATGGTTTATTGTTTGGCATACTGTGAAAAATCAGCCAGCTGGCCTTACTTCTGCAAAAAATGGTTAAACAAACTATGATTCAGTTTGACATCTGAACGTAATCAAGTATGCCCACTAAAATCAGGTACCAGAGGTTCTTAAAGAAGCTTTCTCTTCTAAGTCAAGTTAAATTGCAGCTGACTGTTTACTTTTTGCTTGTCCTATCTTGCTGCTTATTATTCTCATTAAACCAGACTTCTAAGTAACTAAAGCCAGCCATGTGATCCTGGCAGTGCCTAATTCACAGCAGGAATCACTGCTCTAGTATTATATCAAATCAGCCACCTTTGTAGAAGTAACTTCTAACTGCCACTTTGATTCTAGCCACAATGTGGTATATAATAGGTCTGGTTTGCTTTAGGGATATTTTGTTAAGGATTCTGTATGTAAAGGGGAAAAAATAGCACACAGCAATGTAATCCCACAGAAGAATTTTACTAGTAAAATAACTTTTTTTTCCTGGTGCCTTTGAGTCAGTTTTTGACTCCTGGTGACTGCCTGGACAAGTCCCTGCAGTTTCTTGGCAAGATTTCAGAAGTGGTTTGCTACTGCCTGCTTCCTAGGGCTGAGAGAGAGTGACTGGCCCAAGGTCTGTCCATTAAGTGGCTTTGTGGCTAAGGCTGGGCTAGAACTCAGAGTCTCCTGGTTTCTAGCCTGCTGTAAAATAACTAGTAAATAGTTATTTAAATGGTAATGGTTACTATTAAAGAAAATGTTAGCAGTTATGTTGGAAACATTATTCCACAGGAAAAAAAAGTCGCACTAAGTCTTGTTCATGCTGTGTTCTCTTCCTGGCCTTTCAGAGTTATCTCAACAATACCTGAAAGCCCTTTCAAACGCCATTCTCCACTTCTACAGAAGAATATGGTGTCTTGCCAAGTGTGTCCCTTAGCCTGAAAGAATTTGCACACCCCTGCTTTATGATGGTTAGTATCACCTCTCAAGCAGGGGGTCTCACAGGGATATTCTGCAAAGAGTTATACTTGCAGAGTTCCTCTGTTATACACTGTACCTTGTTTAGGAAATTTGCATTATATGACCCTGAAATCCCAACTGATCAATCAAATGATGGATATGCAAAGGGAACCAAAATTAAATGACCAAAATTAAATCAAAATGGCATTTAGCACTAACTAGACTTAATTGGAGGGTTGCATATTACCTCATTATAAGCAGGATCATAAAGGTGATTTTCCTTTAGGGTTCACACTTTATATTGTATGTATGGTATAAAGGAAAAGTGTGGTTTACCTATTATATTCATGATAAAATCAGTGGCTTAAAATTGTGGACTTGAGTCAGCCAATCCAAAGCATTTAAAAACTCACAGATTATTTATTTGGAGTTAGTATAACTGCAGCAAAAATCCCTGCTACACAACACCTTTTCTATTTGGAAGCCCAGAGAACTGGTGATCTTTTGCTCCTTTACTTCCTTTATGTTCCAAATATTTCTGGTCCCTAGTTTGTATTTATAACCAGATAAAGCAATCTGGTATGGGTGTATATTAATTTTACATGATACTTTTTAAGATAGTGCACATTGTCCCTAGGAACTGAGTGCTGAATTGTTTATTAAGTGCTTGTTCATCCTTGCCCTGCCAGTTTGCTGTCCAAATCTATCACTTCCTGCTCCTGTGAGCAAGAAACATGGACCTCTGTGGACCTGTAGCATCTGGGATATGACAGATCCTACTCTTTGTCCATCAAACTACAAACTGGAGAGACAGCTTATGTAGGAAATTCCCCCCACTCTTCCCCCATTCCCCTTCTGTTTGGACAATCAGCTGCTCTGTCTTTATAAATCTCACATAGTCTTACAGGATGTAGATACTCAAATCAATCTTTGCCTGGGGGAGGTAATTATAAAACATTTCATGGAAGAGGCTGAAAGTAAACAAGAGGGAGGCAGAGCATTTTTCTCTGCTATTTCTGATAAAGAGCCAAAGCTGGCACTTCAAACATTCTCTCCTTCAAGAATTCTTGGGGGGACATAGTGACTCCAGGAATGTTGTTGGGCTACTCAAAAAAAAAAAAAAAATCCTACAGACTGAGTAAGTAAGTAGGTAAGTAAATAATAAATAATAAAGATCAACCCATTGGTATTAATCTTGAGTAGCCTCCATGGAAGGTCCTAATGTTTTATTTGCCCCTCAAAAATCTGGCTTTCAGATTCTGAAATAGCCACAATGGAGGAATGGTTGGTGAAGATGAGAGAACTAGCAGAGATGGCAAAATTAACTTGTTTGAGTAGAGAAAGATCAACAACTACATTTATCAGTGACTGGAAACCCTTTATGGACTTTTTGCTGAAAAAAGAAAAAATGAACTTGTGATTTATGGGTTTGAAAATGAGAAAGGGTAGCTTATGGAAAGAAGGAAATTATGACGTAACCTTAGAGCAGTGTTTCTCAACCTTAGCAACTTTAAGATGTGTGGACTTCAACTCCCAGCAACCTGACTGGGGAATTCTCAGAGTTGAAGTCCATGCATCTTAAAATTGCCCAGGTTGAGAAACACTGCCTTAGAGAGAGAGGGTAAAATATAAATGCATTTATAACCGCTGTCAAAAAGATCAGAAGCTCCTTCTTTATAATCTTTTCTTTTTTCTTTTTCTTTTCTTTCTTACTTATTCACTATTCTTCCTTATTTTCTTTGTTTCTTTTCTAATATTTCTATTCTTTTTATCTAGTTAAAATTTCTTCAATAAAAATTACATTAAAAAGAAGTCTGGCTTTCAAAGAAGATTATAGGTTCTATGAAAGTGAAGACAATCTTTTAGCACTTCATATCCATACTGGAAGACAAATCAACAACAGAGATTTATTGCTAATGGCTCATTCAAAGATGTAATAAACAAAGACATTTTAGCATGGCAATTTAGCTAACTTCATGGAAGTGAGCTTGCATCAGTTATTTGATATTTTATTAAAAAGCAATAGATACATGGTATAAATAAAAAACTAAAATAAGATAAAGATAAAATGGGGGGAAACTGATTTTTCTTGATTTAGATGAAATATTTGCAGTGCTTGGCAGCACAAGTTGTCTATTCTCTTTGTCCTGTAGCTATTATTCTTATCTACCTCCCACACAATCCCATAAGAATTGGGACCTCGGTCTCTAATACTTTTCCTCCATTCATTCTTTTTTCTCTCTCTCTCTCTCTGCTTCTTGCCAAGAACATTAATTTCTTTGAAAAACTTGAAATTGGAAAGAAAATAAATTTATGGAAGGTAATCCATTCGTTTATACAGCTTGTGAAAGAGCTCGGATAACTCCCTGGGAATGGGTGGGCTTTTACAAGAAAGAAGGAGAAAGGAGAGTTGAAATTACACTGAGAAAAAAGGTAACTGTAGCTTGCAGAAACTATTCTTATGACAGCACCTGGCTGTTCTTGGTGAAGGATTTTGGTTTGACTCAAAAAAACAATACACTTAGGCAAAGGAAGGATGTCCCAAGGTGCCAACTTCTTTATGAAGTTTGCTTTGTTTGACATGTTTAGGCAAGGATCTGGGGTGGCATGGCACCTTGCCTGTCTCTTGGTCTGGGATTCAGCCAACACAATTCCCAACCAGAGTTCTTTCAAACGCTAGAATGGCTAGGCCACAACATGCAGAGAAACTTGACTGCACCAGTTTTATTGCTGGCAAACTTTCTATAGTCCTTTAGGAAAATAAATTTGGTATAGAATCTTTGGAATGGTATAGAGAATCATCTTTTAGAAAAGGATTTTACTAATAATCTGCTGTAGTGAACATTATAGTTTCATTCCTAAATATAACTATTTGCCTATATCAAAGGTAGTAGTACAAAAATACATTGTCCTTCAACATGTACTCCTTTCTGGCTGAAAATAACATACTCTCCCAGCATCATTCTGAGTAGGAGGGAAATGTAAGAATCATTGGCTATTTATGCTGATCTAAACAGAAGTCTTTTGTGCCGTGGACAAGGGTATAATTTATAAAAACAATCTGTTATTAAAACAATTCCTTAAAGCATCTGTCTAAGTTGTTGCAAAAGTACAAATTTACTCTGAAGGGCAGTATCAAAATATGCCTTTTTTGATGTGATACCTGGTTCAATCTCCTAAGAATCACTCTGTGGAATTACCTATTATCTTCTTATGCCTTCGTAACATTTTTGTCTCAACCTAGCTTTTCATCTTAGGGAAAGGGGAGAGATAAGTGAGACCTGAGAAAGCATAAATTGAAGGTACTACCAGCACCTTGAAATGGCTGCTTCCTGGTGAGAGAGCAGAACTGGTGGGTTGATGAGGATGGGTCTTCCTTGAGATTCTCTAGGCTGGAGGGGAAGGACTGGAAGAATGGACTTAATCTACAAGCTTAATTTGCAAGCTTCCCACCTGTCTTCTACAGTACAGTGATTGTATATATAAGCTGGCATCTCAGAGAAAGACCCAATATGACCATCTTCCATAGCTGACAAATTGTTGATGGTAACTTCTTCCCATAAGAGCACAGGCAGAAGCCT